CACTCAACATATTTAATTGTGCTCAGTGAATCTATCAAGTCGAAGTGAAAAATCTGTGTTGGCTGAACAAATCCAACATTAAAAAAAAAAACTGTATGCATACGCTAAATGTGCCCAGGGAAAACCGTTGGTATGGAGAATTCAAATGCGGATGCGCGGGAGAGCGAGCCGAGCCGAGCCAGCTGGTGCTGAAGACCGAAACAAACATTCCCAAGAGAATACAGATTTTCATCATCGGGGCTGAGAGCCATGAGAACGGGACTGTGCAGGATATTTTCTTCAGCTATTTCCCTCTTTGAGTCCTTGTTTAGGTCTTGCATTCTGTCACGGGTTGCTGTGGTAGATAGCTCATGAAGACAAGGGATCCTTAGAACAGTATTTAATTTAGAAACTCAGGAATATAAAGGAGAAAGTAACAACCACATACAACCTGATGTACAAATTAACAACACCAACATCAATGCAAGACCAGGGAGAGACTGAAAGTGAGGGCTTAAGTGCACTGGAAGACAAGGGAGCTAACAAAATAATTAACAGGACACACCTGGACAGAATTCTCAAATCAATATGTAACCATAGAAACAAACAGGCAGGGGACTAGGATGACAAAACTAATTAGGCCCCATTTATACTGCATGGTTCTAGTGACCCAAATCCGATTTTTTCCTCTCATGTGGCACAGATCGGATATGACCCATGAACGTGTAAGCAGGAAAAAAACGCATGGATTCCGATTTTCTCAGATCGGATTCAGGCCTCACTCATATGTGGTAATAAATCGGATATGAATCGGATACGTGCATTTGCGTGTGCCATGTAAGCAGACAAATCGGATATTCCCCAGTAAATGCGAGTCGTACGTCATTAAAAAAGTGACGTCAACTCAGGTGGACACCACCAACTGAGATCACATGACTTATTATAGGCGCGATGGAGGACGAAGGATACACACAGTGGAGCAATGCGGAGGTTTCATGTCTTTTGAGTGTTTGGGGCGAAGAGACAGTGCAGGCAAAAATGCAGGGTTGTTACAGAAATAAATCCGTGTTTGAAGACATTTCACGAGATATGGGGAGACACGGTTTTAAGCGCTCGTGGCTACAGTGCCACCGTAAGATAAAAAGCTTAATGACTTTTAAAAATATCGTGGAAAGCAAAACACTGGATAATTTTATTCGCATCTGCATCCATTGTATTTCGTGCTGTTTTACTTCCTTTTCCGGGTCAGAACGTCTACATTTGGTAGTTTCAGCAGTGTATAGTGTAAATGCAAAAATCGGATACGGGTCACTTTTAAAAGATGATGTAAGCGGGTCGTCCAAAAAATCGGATATAGTCAGAAAATCGGATTTGGGCATCAAGACCTGCAGTGTAAATGCAGCCTAAGCAAACTGAAACAGAACATTTTAGGTGTGTTCGACATCGGCTGGATGTAACCGATCGGCGAGAGTTGCCGCGTGCAGGCGGGGAGGAGCTGAAAACGGACACGTGAAGTCAGACAATTTCTGCTTCCCGTAGTGACCTCTCACGTGGTGTTTGCATACTTTACCACAGCTGAAGTTAAATAAATGTAATATTTGTCAAATACACAGACGTTTTAGATACGTTTCTAAAGTTCAGTGTCTGTATGTACAAGAATAAAGTTCAACATTACCCTACACTATTTAAATACCAATGTAGTGGGGTCTACGTATTTTAAATCAGTTTTATTTTAAAAACATGACACAATATAACATTGCAACTACACGAAAAGATATTTTACTGTTCTAAAAAAACTAATTTGTGAGCATTAGTGGAACTGAAGGTGTGAGAATAAACACGCAACACAGGTGATTGTTGTCATGCGGTGAATCCGGCCAATCGGGAAACAGCTGTGTCATCATCTGAGCTCTTGCAGCTGCTCTTGAGAAACTGCCCTGGCTGAGTCCTCTGGCTGCTCTCGAATCGCTCTCACGGTACTTTGATGGCATACCTCACAGTCACCTGGCTTTGGTGCTGTCTCAATTAGGACAACATTTCTAACTGGCATGCACTTGTAACCCAGGTTAAAATTTCAACTTTGACAGAAATATAGTACCTTACCCCCTCTCCCATGTAAGTACTGAAGTTGACTATGAAACTTGGAGAAACAATGTGGAGCTCATTCTGTAAGATCCTTCCTTTTCTGACCTACATCGATCAATAAAGATTCTAGATAGCCTTCTGCCACGAGCAGTCAAACACTTGATGAGCCCTTCCTTCAGCTTACCTGGACTTACTGGACTTACTATTTCTTAAACACGCTACAAGATTCTGGTGAGAAGCCATCATTATACTTACAGGGGTTGCAGACAGTTTTTACCAAGGCAATAAAGTGAGGGGGTGTTTCTTCTAAAGATGCTGAAAAGCTTCAACAGTTTTGTGGAGGGTGCTAGGACAATGTGTTGATAGGAGGCCTCCAACTTGAGCACAAGAGAGACAACCTCTGTTTCCTGAATTGCTTCTACAGTTATGTAGTGAGGAAAGCAAGAACATAGCCAAAGAGAGTAGAATGAGGAAAGATCTTGGAGCACATAAGCAAAAAATTGCCTCTCAAGTTGTATCTCTCTGCCCTACTGACAATGATCCCGACCTGACCACAGAAGATGAAGTATCTGATTTGAAAAAGCTGGGTTGCCAAACTTCAAAGCTAACTTACCAAACGCAAGACCAAGCATGCTTAAGAGTGTACAGTTAAACAGTTCAACTGGGTTTCCTCTTGGGTGATATGGTGTAGTTCGAACCTTATGAATCCCAGAAATTTCACACAGCTCTTTAATAGTTTTGGATTCAAAATCCGGGCCTTGATCACTGTGTGTTTCAGGAATGCCACAGTGAAAAATGCCATTTTCCCAGAGACACTTTGCTACATGACTTTCTGGTTTTGAGTAGGATTGGCTACCGCATATTTTGTAAAGAAATCAGTAATCACCAGGATGTCCTTTGTGTTGCTGGAATCTGGCTCCATTGAAAGGAAGTTCATACAGACTAATTCGAGAGGTCTGGAGACTTTGATGTTAAAGGTGCAATGTGTAAAAATTTTGAGTATCTATTAACAGAAATGCAATATGACATCCATAACTATGTTTCAGTGGTGTATAAAGAACTTAATAAACCGTAATGTTTTTATTACCTTAGAATGAGACATTTATATCTACATAACCGCGGGCACCCCCTTCTATGAAGGTCGACATATTGTGACGTCATGTTTCTACCGTAGCCGACAGCGAACAAACAGCGCTACAGAGCGCGTTTCGTCACTACCTTGAAAGAGAAGCAGCAGAAAGCTAGAAGCCATGGACACCGTGAGTAGTGACTTTTCCTTTGTCAGTGGTGTAAAATATGTAGTTGGATTGTTTCATGTAACTTAGTTCTTCTCCCTCGCTGTGTTATGGCTTTGCTATGTGGGGATACATGTGCTGGTAACGTTCGTGAGACAGCTGATTAGTACTCTTGTCATTGACCGTAAAACAGTATGTTACAGGAATCACCAACCCATCGATCGCGGTCGACAAGTCGATCTTGGAAGCATTTTAAGTCGATCGCGAAGAGTTTTCAAAATCAGTGAAAAGCCTATTGTGTGTAGTAAATGGTGTCTAGGGGATGCGGAGGCGCGCGCACTGTTAAACTCATGTCATTTTTGCTGCGCGCATCTTTGGGCTCATGCGGATGCGTCGAGTATAAACAAGGCTTTACGCTTTAACCAGCTCAGCCACAGTAACAGCTCATATTTTGCCAGCTAAACTTTTACTACCCTGTTAGAAAAAACATATAGTTGCAGTTTCAATCAATCAATCAATCACCTTTTATTTATATAGCACAATAAAAGCAACAGTAGTTGGCCATTGTGCTGTACAACAGAATAAATATCTTAAAAACTAGACCGTCCGCAAAGTAAATGATAAAGGGAGTTTACATCAGAAACACCAATTTAACAATTCAACATAAAAAATCAAGGACAATTCACCTTATTCCGCCCCGCCCACTTTTAACATTTCGCGCTTCCGGATTTTGTCATCCGACTTCCGCTAAACTGACACGGCACATCCGGTAGCTAGTTCAGTGGTTAGAATATTGTTTATAGCTTCCAAAAACTTTAGCGAAATGACGAATAACATTAATACCGTACATGTTTTAAATTGGGAGCACGGAGAAAACTTCGTACGAAGATCAGATGGTCTCATATTGTCCCACCCATCGTCATTGTTAACGTGGGTAGACGATATGAAGAAGTGGCCAGAGGTATCCTATGGGGACATATTTAACTACTTCGAGATACATTTGTGATTTTGTGTTTTAGAAAATATAAAGGATTAAATAAGTTGTATAAAATCAGTTGATAAAAAGTGTTTGTTTTCATGAAGCTAGAGACACCTTCTACTGACCTTCATGTAGATATATTTCACCATTTAATTTTCATAAGTATTAAACTAAGATGGTATTGATTTGCAAACTTAGCATGACTTATTCCTTCTAACCAAAAGACTTAATTCCTTTAAGTTTTAAGGGGAATCTACAGAGCTCACATTATATGGTTTTATAATAAATGACTGACAGGTAATATCTGGTCACATTGTAAAGGTTTATTAAACATCTGGTCACACTGTAAAGGTTTATTAAACATCTGGTCACACTGTAAAGGTTTATAAAAATAACTATTCAAAACAGGTAACATCTGGTCACACCGTAAAGGTTTATAAAAATATCTATTCACAACAGGTAACATCTGGTCACACTGTAAAGGTTTATAAAAATAACTATTCACAAAAGGTAACATCTGGTCACACTGTAAAGGTTTATAAAAATAACTATTCACAACAGGTAACATCTGGTCACACTGTAAAGGTTTATAAAAATAACTATTCACAACAGGTAACATCTGGTCACACTGTAAAGGTTTATAAAAAAGAACTACTTACACTATTTACACTGATTAGTTAAACAAAAAACAGAAAAAAGTATGGACAGAAGTGGAACGCACCTACAAATAAACATTTATTCATCCTCAATATCAGAAATGATGTCGCTTCGAAGGTTGCAAAGGGCTGCACAAATTCTTAGAATTTTATCTATTTTAGGGGTGAGGTTAATTGGAATGGTTTGAGAGAGGACTTTGAAGTTTTTATGTCGACATATGACCCTCTCAACGTGGACACGTACATTGGCGATGCGCCTAGTGTTGGTGGTGTCTTCTTCAGAGAGTTGCATGCCTCTCTTTGTGAATGCTGGAAGGACAAGTTTCACCTTCCTTTCATAGAGGAGATCGGTAATAGTGAAGCCTCTGTCTGCCATTACTTCATCGCCTGGACGAAGGTATTCCAGGAACCCTGAATTTGCAGTTATGAATTTATCACTGCATCTTCCTCCAAACGCTGGTGAGATGAACATGATCAGTCCACATGGTGCAATGGAGACCAGATATTTGATGGTGTTCTGGCCGTAGTAATGGCTGTAGGACTCACCTCTCGAGTCAAGGTTGCGTGGCTTTTGAAGGGGTGTCTCTGAACAGTCGATCACACATGTTGTTTTTGGAAATTGCTCTCTAAAACACTGAGGCATTGTTGCCTGGATTGTCTCCCTGGGAAGCCATGGTATGTAACACCTCATCTTCTCCTCCATGATGTCAAGCCAACACGAAATCACCTTGCTTACAATGGACTGAGAAACACAAAACCTTTCAGCAAGATCACCCTGCAATAAATTAAGACGCAGCTTCATCAGAGTCATCAAGAGCTGATCCCAAGTGTGTAGCTGAAAGCTGTTGGTGTATGAACTGGTAAGGTGCTCGGCAACTGAATGGAATGCATCCAATGTCAACCCTGTGTAGAGCTGACAAAGGTGGTCGTTTCTCAGCAGAGTTATGTACAATGGCGCAGGCTCAACACATTGTGTTCCAATTTCAGATGTAGGTGGCTTCAGGTTGAGTTGAGATATTGTAGTGTAGTTGTGGTCAGAGACAGATGGATCCTCCCATTGTGTTTCTGCATCACAGGTCTGGGGCATGTGGCTGAGATCCTCCTCACAGTTGTCCACTGCATCACTGACACTCATTGATGCATCTATGGAAATAATATATAACCATAAACATTTTTACATTAGTACTTAAAATAGATCATGATAATTTATTTATGATGGCACTCATACTTAGAATAGTGTGAAAAAGAGAGATGCATTAAAAACGAGACAGTATACACACAATCTCCTAACTCACCGTAGGTCAATATCAATATCTGAATGAGAATGAGCTAACGTTAGCTGGCCTCCTTACAGGAATAATGTGAGCTATTGCAAGACTGTACCATACTATATTGTAATATCATGAATATTCATTCATTCATTCTTTATTTCAGACCCTTATGTCCATATCACAAAGTAAACGAAATATGACATATAGGTGGGCTATGGTAATCATGCAAGATTCATTGTATTTTGTTAACGACTCGTTACTGATCTTAAATGTATTGATAGAACGGACTTCACGAATCAACGTTAGGTAACACATAGCTAACAAGTTAACAGTTAACGTTAGGTAAGTTAAGTTAGCTTACCTGAATCTGACAACTTGTTCAGCACCCGGCGGGACTTCTTTACCGGAACATCGTAGCCGAGCCATTTCTCGGGGTAAGGGTGTTCGTCAGTCGGCTTCCTGTCCACAAAATGGTAAGAACACACATAAGCGCGCTTGGGTGGGCACTTCAAGTTTAGCGCCTTCCGCCATTGCCTCAGGTGCTCCTCATCTTTAGGTGGTGGGTGTAAATCGTAGAGTGCACCACAACACTCCGATCGCTTTACATTATGGTCGTAACAGCGTTGGTTCAATTGTTCTCTCCTTTTGATCCAATTATTATGGCAGCCCCTAACTGAGCATATAAGACTCGACATATTTCACAGTTACAGCTATAGAATTACGTCTAGAATGCTAGAAACTAGCGTAGATCCTTTCAGCCGGAAGTTGAAGTCCGTCTCAACCGGAAGTAAGATGACAAAACGAACGTAATGGCGTCACCCTTGTTGTCGTGGAAAATAAGGTGAATTGTAAGCCAGTGAAAACAGGTAAGTTTTTAACTTAGATTTAAAAACAGACTCTGTGGATATTAGTCTTAAAGATACAGGAAGACTATTCCACAGTTTTGGACCAACAATAGAAAACGCACGGTCACCTCTCGTCTTCAGTCTTGATCTTGGAACCATCAATAATCTTTGTTGAGATGACCTCAATGATCTAACACAGTCATTTAATTTCAAAAGATCAGAGAGATAGGTTGGAGCTAATTTGTTTATGGCTTTAAAAACAAAAAGCAGTATTTTAAAATCAACTCTATAACAAACTGGCAGCCAGTGCAACGAACGCAATATTGGGGTAACATGATCAAACTTCCTCGTGCCAGTCAAAAGTCTGGCTGCTGCATTCTGAACCATCTGAAGACGACTAATATTGGATTGACTCATTCCAATATAAAGAGAATTACAATAGTCAAATCTAGATGAAATGAACAAATGAATCACTCTGTCGAACTCTGTAAATGTTAAAAAAACTCTTAGCCTTAGATAATAGTCTTAATTGGAAGAAACTAGATTTGACTACGGCACTTATCTGTTTGTCAAATTTAAGAGCAGAATCGAAAATAACACCCAAGTTTGTCACTGAGTGTTTTACATAGGGGGCCAAATCTCCCAGGTCACCATCGGGAGTAATAGAAACACCTGAAAACGATAACATCAGTTTTGCTCTCGTTTAGATGCAGAAAATTTGAGGAAAACCAAGACTTAACATCAGACACGCACGCTGATAACAAGCTTAGGCCCTTTTCATCATTTTTCTTTAGAGGCAGATAAATCTGGGTGTCATCAGCATAAAAATGGAATGACACCCCATGTTTAGAGAAGATAGTCCCCAAAGGAAGCAAATACAATGAGAACAGAGCTGGCGACAGAATGGAGCCCTGAGGGACTCCATAATCCAAAACAGAAACAGAAGAAGAAAACCCATCTAGACAAACAGAAAACGTTCTAGCATTCAGATAGGACTTAAACCAATCTAGAGTCCAGCCTTCAATACCCACACATTGTTCAAGTCGTGAGATAAGAATTTTGTGGTCCACAGTATCAAAGGCAGCACTTAAATCCAAGAGTAGGAGAATCACAGAATCCCCTGAGTCAACAGACAATAAAATATCATTAAAAACTTTTAATAAAGCGGACTCAGTACTGTGTTTTTTTCTAAACCCAGATTGGAATTTTTCAAAAACACTATTTACCTCCAAATGACTCTGTAGTTGTTCGAAAACAACTTTCTCTAAAATTTTTGAAATAAAAGATAGATTTGAAATCGGTCTATAATTAGAAAGTATGGTTGGGTCGAGATTGGGTTTTTTAAGTAGGGGTTTTACAATTGCATGTTTTAGGAACAACACCTGTGAGGAGGGACTTATTTATTATACCTAAAATGCTAAGTCCAACGACATCAAAAATCTGCAGCAAAAAATGTGTTGGAATAATGTCATGCAGACATGTAGTAGGTTTTAGTTTCTTAATAATATCTTTAAGTGAATTTAAAGAAACTGTCTGAAATTTAAAAGATGAAACATGGGGAAAAAGAATAGATGGCTCATAGTTTGAAGATACTATATTCTGTCCTTTATCAACAATTTTATCTGTAAAAAATTTTTAAAAGCTATCACATACTGCAGTTGATGCATTAAAGCAAACAGCACTCACAGGATTCACAACCGAATTTAAGATAGTAAAAAGTATTTTAGGTTTGTGGGAGTTTTTTACTATAATGTCAGAAAATACTGAGATTTGGCAGCTTTTACTGACTTTTGGTATGTAATGAATGACTCACGTAATATTTCATAAGACACTTGTAATTTGTCTTTTTTCCACTTTTGTTCCGCTCTACGACAAACCCGTCTAAGTTGAAGTGTGGTGCTAGTTACCCAAGGTTCAGCTTTAGGCTTTTGCCGTTTTTCTCTTAGTGGAGCCACAGAATTCATTATGTCATTACTAATGGAATTGAATAACAAAAGATGTTCATCAACATTAAGCAGATTTGAAAGGGAATCAAGACCATACATTTGGCAAGCCTCATTAAAAAGAAAAGAAAAAGAATCACTAGAAGAAGGGCTAAAAGTACGAATCTGCTGTGAAACCCTCTGTGTTTTTATAACTTCATTTGGGAAGGAGCAAGTGAATGTAACAGGCATATGATCAGAGAAACTCAAATCAAGGATTTCAAGTTCACAGATCGAAATACCGTGCAACAGCACAAGATCTAGTGTGTGGCCCTGTTTATGGGTTGGACCATTTACCACCTGTGTAAAATCGAACGAATCAGTCAGATTAGTAAAATCCTTGGCCAAGGAATTTGACTCACAACAAATGTGGATATTAAAATCCCCCGCAATCAAAAGGCGATCATACTGAACAACAATATCTCCTAAAAAGTTTGCAAACTCATTTAAAAAATCCTTATTTGGTTTTGGAGGGCGATAAACCACAGCGATCGCTAACTGATCCATATTTAGCAGAAACAGGAGAACTTCAAAACTAGAAAACATTTCTGTCTTTAAAGATCGGCAGCAAAAAATACTTTTAAAAACAGACGCAAGCCCACCGCCTCTGCCAGAAAGTCTAGGACAGTTAAAAAAAACAGTCTGAGGGCACAAGTTCAGAAAAGGGGCTTGTATCCCCCATACTCATCCAAGTCTCAGTCACTAGTAAAAAATCCAGTTTATTTAAGTTGAAGAAATCTGGCAAGATGAATGTCTTATTTACAAGAGATCTTGCGTTTACCAGAGCCATCTTGACACTGGATCGCAGTCCGGCTGTGCTGCACGGCACAGCGGGCGAAGATTGCAAAGATTTACATAACAAAGCGCCGCATAACAAAGCGACCGGATCCAGGCCCAAGCTGAGAGCAATCCAAACCGTGACGCGATTTCAGCTGACGCACTAAACTTAACTTCAGTTTAGCCGCAATGCCCGCTCGCTTTCCTCTTCTCCTACGGCGTTTCTTTCCATGAAAATCCCACGGCAACCGGCTTTCCCGGGCCGGGACGGTTTTCAAAAATGGAGGGAAGTAGTTTGATTGAAGGAATTTTCAATCAGCGTTCGATGAAAACTCAACAGAGTCCCTTATATTCAAAAGCATTTGACGGTCATAAACAAATAAAGTAAAAACATTTTGAATTAAAACGGAACTATAAAACCAAATAAACAGAACAGGGAGCAGACGGCCAGCCAAACACACCGGCGCCATCTTGCACTCAAATACAATCATACAAATACAAGTTTCATGTGGTTCGTCTCCCTCGCTGTATTATGGGTTTGCTATGTGGGGAGAAATGTGATGGTTACGTTTGTGAGACAATCAGCTGATTACTATTATTATTATATTATATATTAAGACCCTTGATCCTCACCTGACTAATGGCTTTGTAAACTTTATCCATGATATGGTTTATAATGGACTGTGTTGTGGTACAGAAACAGTGACAATGTTACACACTCTTGGCTTACTCTGGCTATTCTCTGCTGTCTCAGACGACGATATGTTTGTCCCGTTTTAGCCACCGTAGCTTCTTCGAAAGGGAGGGGTGAGCAGTGGGCTGAGCCCTTAGTGCAACTCGCAACCGAACCGCTAGATGTCGCTAAAAAATACACACTGCACCTTTAACCAATGGAGCAGCTCTTTCTGGTAAGGCTCTTCGACACACATTGACTGCAAGTCTTTTTTCTTATGACCAATATTGTTTGCCATTCTGGGCCAATAGAAACGAGTTCTGGCAAGATCCAGGGTTCGTATTAGTCCTAGATGTCCCATATCATCGTGTAGACTTTTCAGAACCACATTTCTGAACTCATCTGGAAGTTACCAAACTGATCTGGGCCCGGTTCCCCAAAACGTTCTTATTGCTAAGTAGTTCTTAACCTATTCCTTAACCTCTCTCTTAACCTTATGGCTCGATTCCCGACACGCTCGTACGCTAAGTATATCTTCTGTAAGTCACACTTTCGTAAGGTTGGTCTGGACCATTCGTAAGCTCTCTCTTAGCGTTGTTTGAGCTCAAGACGCTAGTCGCCGCCACTGTGCAGCAGTCTTTAGAAATCAGTACAAGTCAAACTATGGTATGTTGACAATGTTGTGTCTCAACAATGATTTTATATTTTATGGACATTTTAAGACTAATAATAAAATAGGTTCGCAATGGATACAGGCCTATTTATGAAGTTGACTTTATTTGGTATCAGAACTAATATGGTGGTAATTAGCCGAGACTATTTCGTAATGTCATTAAAGAGTTTAAATTGGCAATCACTTTTGATAGGCTAATTAAAATCTGGCAAACAATTTGGCTCTAAATGGCTAAGATCTATAAATGGGTAAGCATGGTGGTGTCTAGTAACTGACCAACTATGTCACATTTTTTCAAAACTCTACACACAATTCCCAAAACTTCACACACAAAATGCAAAATGCCTCACATCTCCTTCAAAAATGTCATAAACACATGTAAGAATGAAACATTTGTATCAAATGGCAAAAATGTATTTCATAATAGTGCATTTTTGGATATACCTTGTAAACATTGTTTTTCTAAATCTAAAGCTCTTTGGTCATTCTTACACTTATATCTACATTTCAATACAATGTTCTACAGTGAAAGTAATCTTCTGAGAGGGGTAACAAGTACACTGTAATCACCGATGCAATGTAGAAACAGAAAATATTTATTAGGCCAAACATTACTGTTGTATACAGTAGCATACAACAAAACCATAAACATATGTAAACCAAAAGTATATTCTTTAGAATACAGTAAAGAACACAATTGAGTGTGGGGGGTCTCTGTGTTGGCATCCATTGTTCAAACAGGTAA